TCCTCGTAGAATGAGGTTTTCCTAGTTCAAACTAAGCGCTCTGCTAGTTCGAATTAAATTCGAACTAGCGGAGCGCTAGTGTAGCGCCTATTAAAGTTAGTTCGAACTAACATCCGTTAGTTTGAACTAACTTTGTAGTGTAGACATACCCTAAGCTATTTATGTGGTTGTATAATGTCTGTGTGTGTAGTTAGGAATCTGTAGTCTGTGTGGATACTGAATATTTCTCTGCATGTGGTTAACCATTGGCAGAGCCCAGGCCTGTGGACATGCTAATTAGCAAGGCCCTGTGGGACAATGGCTCTCAATGGGCCAAGGACACACCTAAAGCATGAAGGCGGACACCTAAGAGCTGCCAGCAGAGAGAGGCTGTGGACTAGGTGACCTGCTGCATACAAAAAGAGACCAGGAAGGAGGTATAAAGAGGCCATGTGGTCTATGCCATTTTGTTCTCAGCTCAGCACTTCATCCCAGAGGCAGCACTGCAGGGATTGAAGAGCCCGGAAGACCTGTGGACCCATCCTGACCCTAGGATGCGCAACAAGGACTTTTAAACCAGCAGCTGTAACATCTCTGCTAGAGCCTGCATCGAGAACTGGGAGATTCGGTGCATGTAACGTACTAATCTTTAACAACCTGACTCTCATGCTTTTCTTTCTTATGTTAATAAACCTTTAGATGTTAGATGCTAAAGGATTGGCCCAGCATGATTTGTGGGTAAGGTCCAGAGGGTAAATTGACCAGGGATCTGAGGCTGGTTTCTTGGAACCAGACAGAACTTGTTCGGGGTAGGTGGGATTGGGTGCTAGGACCCCCCAACTGTGTATGAGGCCTGGGGCCATCTGGGGCACGGATATTGCTGGGGTGTCGGAGGGGTTTTGCTTATGAGGCTTCAGGCAGGCTGCTGAAGCGCTCTGTGGGACTGGTTTGTGGCCTGTATGGAGAGGTTACCAGTCTGGGGGCTGTAAGGAGCCCCGGATTTGAGCAATTCGCCCTGAGCGGATGCCCTTAGCTGTGCCCAGACACGGCCCGGTCCGTCACAACCGTGTTCCCCTCTCCCCGCAATCCCCACAGCCACCTGTGGAAGCAGGCTCTTTGCTAGCCAGGCCTCTCGCTCGTATTGCCATCCAAGTAAAAGGTCAACTTCCCCTTGATGAAAACCCTTACACTATGTAACTTAAAGGTCAGCGACCAACAGGAACCAAAACCAGACCTAAAAAGTTCATGTAAAGTTCATGCTGGTTGTGCTGACTGTGCCATGCCCGATAAGGCAGAAAAGGAAAAACAGGAAACCATCTCACCCCCGTCACTTAGCAGATAGGGTCTGCTAGCCTATCACAAAAAGCGCTCAAAAGCTCTCTCTATAAAACAGCTTCCTCTCCTGTATCAAATTGAGGAATCCCTAATAAACATTGGATGGCGGAATATGAGCCAGGTCCAAGGACTGATCACCCGAGGGCCACCACCCGCTCACTGAACCAAACGAGTTCCTGTAGAGTGTAACGTATACCAAACATAACGAATACCAAATATGTTGTTGTTGTAGTTTGTGTGTCTGTTAAATGTAAGTATTGTTATCTGAAATTGTTTAGAGGTATTGTTAAGTAGTAGTGTTAAAAGTTTTAGGTAAATGATTAGTCTTATAAGTAAGACTGATGTAAATGTAAGTGTTCTCTCTCCCCACAGCCCTCACAGCCACCCAGCGCGCTGAACCGTGTTCCTCTCTCCCCACAGCCCTCACAGCCACCCAGCGCGCTGAACCGTGTTCCTCTCTCCCCACAGCCCTCACAGCCACCCAGCGCGCTGAACCGTGTTCCTCTCTCCCCACAGCCCTCACAGCCACCCAGCGCGCTGAACCGTGTTCCTCTCTCCCCACAGCCCTCACAGCCACCCAGCGCGCTGAACCGTGTTCCTCTCTCCCCACAGCCCTCACAGCCACCCAGCGCGCTGAACCGTGTTCCTCTCTCCCCACAGCCCTCACAGCCACCCAGCGCGCTGAACCGTGTTCCTCTCTCCCCACAGCCCTCACAGCCACCCAGCGCGCTGAACCGTGTTCCTCTCTCCCCACAGCCCTCACAGCCACCCAGCGCGCTGAACCGTGTTCCTCTCTCCCCACAGCCCTCACAGCCACCCAGCGCGCTGAACCGTGTTCCTCTCTCCCCACAGCCCTCACAGCCACCCAGCGCGCTGAACCGTGTTCCTCTCTCCCCACAGCCCTCACAGCCACCCAGCGCGCTGAACCGTGTTCCTCTCTCCCCACAGCCCTCACAGCCACCCAGCGCGCTGAACCGTGTTCCTCTCTCCCCACAGCCCTCACAGCCACCCAGCGCGCTGAACCGTGTTCCTCTCTCCCCACAGCCCTCACAGCCACCCAGCGCGCTGAACCGTGTTCCTCTCTCCCCACAGCCCTCACAGCCACCCAGCGCCCTGAACCGTGTTCCCCTCTCCCCACAGCCCTCAGCCACCCAGTGTGCTGCAGCAGTGAGTTAAGGGGTTTGGGGAGCTTGGCAGCTGCAGCCAGAGCCCTGGGCCCTTATGAGTCACCAGGCCCCAGGGCAGTTGCCCCTTTCTCTCCCCCTGCTCCTCATTTGAGGGGCTGGGGAGGCCATTTGTCTGCACCATCCCAGTTCCGTGGGGCTCTGTCCCTGCCCGGTGGGAACTCAGTCCTGGCCGTGGCTTTGTCTGGTAAGAGAGGGACAGGAGGGCTATGTCTACACTGGCAGGTTCTTGAACAAGAACGTCTGTTCTTGCGCAAGAACCTGCAGAGCGTCCACACTGTTCGCCTGTTCTTGCACAAGATTTACAGTACGGCATGGTAAGAGAGGGCTTCTTGCGCAAGAGCTACGCTGTTTTCTAACAGGTGTAAGCCCTCTTGTGCAGGAGGGCAGTGTGGACGCGTAGCAGGCACTTCTTTTGCAAGAAAGTCCTTTTGCTAAAATAGCCATCAGAGCTTTCTTGTGCAAGAGAGCACCCACACTGCCATGGATGCTCTTGCGTAAAAGCACATGGCCATGTGGATGTGTTCTAGCGCCAAGAGTTCTTGTGCAAGAACCTGCCAGTGTAGATATAGCTGAGGAGACTGAGGCTGCAGCAGGACACCTGTGAGGGTGGGGGCAGGAGGGGGCGGAATGATGTAGGTGGGGATGATCTGACAGAGGCAGGGACAGGCCCACAGAGGCTGACCAAGAGTTGAGGGAAGGCCCAACAGGCAGGTGTGGGCATGTCCTGTGCTCGGGGGATGGGTCAGTGACTCCCTAATTAAAAGGCTGATTTCTGTTCAGGATGCTTGGAGTTTGCCCCAGAGCTGCCCTGCAGCGGCAACGCCCTCTGGTAGCTGTGCATTCTGGGAGATTCCCATAGGCTGCCTGGTGGGACTAACAGAACCTTGTTGGCTGGTCCATGCCCAGGTACCCACTGGCACAGGTCAGACCGGCACCGGGCAGCTCCGGCCTGGGGGTAGTTTTGGTCCAACCCAGTCTGATCCCAGTGGTGCCTGGCATGGCTCTGCGCTGCCTGGAGCTCTGTTGTGTGTAGATTCAAAGCACTCAGGGTCCCACACACCATCCAGCCCTGTGTCCTCCTTTAGTGCCAGCCGTAGCATCTGAGTTGAACCCCTCCTGGAGTAGCCCAGGAGTTCAGCATCCCAGTGGGAATCCTGCTGGGCCTTTATCAAACTTTTCCGTTAAAAGCATTTGCGGAAAATCATGCCAGTCTAGACGCAGCCAATTTGTATGGTTTGGAGAATAACATGAGAATGTCCGAGCTTCAATGCTGCCATTGCTCTGGGGTGGGGCTGGGCAGGAGGGGGTCAGGGTGCAGGCTGCCCTAGGGAGAGAGCATTACCCCAGACCTCAGTCACCGCAGCAGCTTGGGGCCAGGTGAGGAGCCTCTCCATAGCCGCTGCAGTTCCAACGGGCCCAACAGGGGGAGGGGTACGTGCCCCTTGGCTCAAGCAGATCCAGGCTTGTCTGTCCCCTGCACTCCCCAGCCAGAGTGAGGAATGCAGAAAACTGGGCACTGTCCTCTCACGCCCCAATGAAGGGGAGCAGCCTCCAATGTCTCCACATGAATTGGGGGGAGGGCGCAGGGGGCTTCAGCCCACACTCCCTGTGGGCCCCTGGGGTGAGGAGAAGCTCGGGATGGGGGCAGTCCCAGACAGAGGTGGGTGCCCCCAGCCAGCCCGTTTCACATCCCCACCGAGTCTGTCTCTTTTCTGTATGGTTTGATGAGAAGCAAACCCCCATCCCAGGCTCCTCCCATTGTCCTGGCAAAGCCAAACCCGTGTGTGGCTTTAAGTTACGATCAGAGGAAGCCGCATGCTGAATGCCACAGCCCTGGCTCTCACTGCTCAGTGCTTGAACTAACAGGCGAACACACAGACACAGGCAGATAAACACTGTCAAATAGACAGTAGATTCAAGGTGGCAGCAATTCCCTACCTGGTACTCCTGGGCCGCTTCCTGTACGGGCAGCACCCTGTGAGCATGGTGAGCCTGGGACAGATGGCAAATCACACAGATCAAACTCTGATCCTCGTCGCAGAACAGCTTGAGAACCTCCTGGTGCTCCCCGCACACCCCGTCCCCTCCTGCTCCCTTTGGTGCCTGCAGACTCAGACGCTTGGCTATTTCTACTATGTTTGCCAGCTGCCTGTTGGGCCGGAGGGGGCCCTGCTGCACGGTTTCTCGGCACTGCGGGCAGGAGGCAGCTGGGCCTGGTCCCTCCCAGCATTGGCTGATGCAGGCCTGGCAGAAATTGTGCCCACACTCCAGAGTGACAGGGGCTGTGAAATACTCCAGGCAGAGGGGACAGGTCGCTTCCTCCCGGAGACTTTCCACGGGGCTGTCTGCAGCCATGGCTCCCTCTGGGCAGTGGAACAAGGTTAGTTTCACTTTCCTGAGCTCACACTGTGCCCCGCCCATGCCAGCAACGGGGCGTTTCCCCTCCTGGAACTGACTCAAGCTGTTTGCTGCATTGGAAAGGATCCAATGGAAACAGTTCAGCCCTGGAGGCTTTGGGGAAAAATGTCCCCCTAGGGCTCTGGCCCTACAATCGTCACCTAGGAGAGGGTGCTGAGGTGCTGAAGAGGGTCTGCCTGGGGGCTGTAGCGATCCGGCAGGGGCCTTCCCTTGCTTTGTGGGTTGGGTCTGTCCTGCAGCAGGTGACTTCTGAGGCCACAGACCCACTGCAAGCGCAATAGGGCAGGAGGAGGCAGATGTCCCTGTAAAACCCCAGTGACCCCCGCACAGGTGTAGCAGGAAATGAAACCAGTTTCCTGCTTGAGTAAGAATGTAGATATATATTTCACTTGTGACAGGCTCAAGCAGGCAAGTAGGAAGTGTAACCTGCCTATTGTTAAGCAAGCGAATAAATGTAACAAACTGTAACCGCAGAGTCAGCAGGTTTGCATAGTGCATCTAACCTTATTTGGAGATGAACCTGACTTCCAAGGATATTAGGAGCAAAATAAGGTAACCAATCATGTTAAGGCACATAAACCAGGAAGGATGTTAACCCTATAAGACCCCTTGCTTACCCAATGCTGGGGGTCGGCTTTGCTTTGAGCACTGAGCTTCTTAGCCGTACCTTGCTTGCAAGCAATAAAATTGAGTTGGACCCAGCCTAAAAGTGTGACTCTCTTCTGTGGGCAAATTAGACTAGCCTCCAGGGGACGAACCTTGCAATTTATGCAACACAGGGGCTGGGATGTGCCCGGAGCCGGGGGGTGCCCCAAATGAGCAGAGCCCCCCGACTTGGGAGTGGGCTGAGCAGAGACACGGGAACGTGCGTTTGGCCAGCGCTGTCCGCGGAGCTGTTTGCTGGAGCAGCCAGGCGGAGCAGCACGAACTAACCCGCGCCAGCAGCGCCCTGTGGCCAGAGACCTTGGGGCTGCAGGAGACCAGGGGCTGCTACACACGACAGAGTGAGGGCAGCGGCCTCAGCTGCGACTGCTGTGCATGCTCCTCCCGGGGGCGCCTGCGCA